TTTCTTTTTCAAATTTAGGATTGAGGGAAAAAGGAAATCATGAAGAAACGTATTCACACGAAGCGAATTGTCCAGAAGCCATACTGGCTTCGAATCCGGAGATAAGACTACTGTGTGTTCAATGAAAAGGGGGCACACATTCAGTACTTGTAAATGTCATTCAAAAGCGTTTTCCTGAGGTTTCGAAGTTATAAAGTTGACATGTAAGGTATCAACGTTGAAAACCTCAAAGTTTGCCTATCTTCCTTCCGCCATGACACAACGTCAACAAAACAATAAAGGTATATTTTACTATTCGCAGTGATGGACTAGAATATGTAAGGATATTTACGATTGAATTGCATGTACAATGAATGCGACATAAATGACTGACAAGCATATTCATTCACACGTGGTTGACTAGTAAATACCATTCACACTTGCACCATTGATTATGTTATACTGTCCATACACACACATGAATGCCTTCTATTTGCAGAACGGAAGGACGGTGGTTCGACACACTGTCCATGTCAAACCAAGATAAGATGCTACTTGTTATTGTCTTGCCTGGCGTTCAGTTTCAAGGAATGGTAATCTTGTAGCCGGTATGCTGAGACTGACGGGACTATCCATGTTAAACTGGGGTATTTGATCTCAAAGAAGTAGCACTGTGAAAATGGCATTGGTTGAGACTGGTACAAGCAGACAGACTCAAAGACATGCACGCACGAACGGGCGTTAACGCGTCGATATAAGTGCCAAAATCTTAAATGCGACGTTCAACCTAATTTCAGTTCCCCTCACTTGACCACCACATATACAATTTATTTGTATACCGAGCATATACCATCAACACTGATTGACGAGCACATAGACACCATACCATATTGCCATGCACATATACCTCTAACACGACTGTCTGGTACATACCATCTACACACAGGACATGATTGACCAGCACTAACCAGACATACAAAGCATATGACCGATGATATAAAGAAGCCATTTAGCGTGGTCGCTGTCTTCAGGAGTCTCTAGACGGTTAAGTGGATCGACAAAACCCCTCACGCCAACTACCGGGAGTCTCGTTATAAGCCTCTACCCAAACTGCTTGGAAATGGTCTTTCTAGAAGTAATTTTCCTTTAGCCATACTGATAAGAAAAACTTTATGACATGACCGGAGAATTGAATGTTGGTGTGATGAGAAGCAACGATCTAGGCCTGTTGTGGTAGCATGACCAGCCTGCTTTACACACATTCACAAATCCCATTCCGACATATCTTCTCCCGTGAAGACGCGTTATTACTTAAGCTTGTCTGTCGGAAATGAAAATATGTACCGGATTTCATGAGACCATTGATTAGGGAGCTTATTTTCCGCCGTGGTTAACATTCAAATTGAAGGCAGAAGAAGCCACGTGAGTTTTAGCATTAGATGAGACCATTTATGTACTTTGATCATGAAAATATCCAATCGAAGACTGATGTTTTTTGATTTCCACATAATAGCAGTTGATGAGCATAAAGCGCGCGTCCGCCTGAGCCTATTTCTCACCCACTGTGATGCTAAAAGTGTCTCCTGCTGAGCAGAGAAGCACACAATGGTTACATGATCTTTATCAAATGGAATGATGGAGCCTTAGCGATGTTTTGTGGTTCAGGTTCAACCGCATTGCCATCACTGTCACAACATCTTCCTCGTGTGTTACTGAGTACAGAGCCGTCAAAACACACTTGTGTGGGAGGACTTCCAACCAACAGACCCTGTGCCATCTAGCTACATCCATGATAATTAGTCTGGGTAGACATTAACGCTATGTGTCAACAGTATACACGAAGAGGGTTCTAAAATAAGGTTCCTAAAATGCTGTAATTATGTTGCCTGGATATGTGCGCTATATAAATATCCTATTATAATAATAATAATAATAATAATTATGTGGGTTTATCACCGCACAACAAGGCTGGAAGCCTTGACATTAAAATACAATCAACAAAAAACGTAAGAATTCTCTCCTACACGCGGAGACCGTTGTACATTTCTGTCTTTACCATGAGCTGTTAATGAATCGCTGTCAAACAGTGATGAAGCGGTGAGGGTAACGTATCTCGATGGTCACAAACACATGCAATGACAAGTCAGTCGTTGACCTGTAAACTCACGTGGTTATGTCATCTCACAGCTGAATTCAGTTTGCTGATTGACGTCGGACTTACAAATGTTTTATCTACATGACGGTGGGTTGTAAATAATCGAGGCTGGACCAGACATTCCAGTGACTGATATCATTAGCTTCCATCTAAGCAACTTGGATACGATAGATAACAGCATCCAATAAACCGTGTTCTATTGTGACTGAGTGAGTGAGTGATTGAGTAGGGGTTTTCTCTGCACTTCTGTATCGACCTAAATGCATACAGCCATAGCCACTGAAAACATACAATCCTTACCAGTTTGATTACACAGTTACAAAGAGCTCCAACTGAGGCGAATTGCTCGTGAACTTTTGAGAAAAGGATGGTATGCCTACTGGCGCCATAAAGTGAATATGAATGTTTGATAATTGAATGTCATTGAGCTACTCACTTGCACATGCACCTGAATATTTGGTTATAGAATGATGCACTCACTGATCTGAACACCATGCACATGCATGTTTGACAGCTGAATTACCGCCTCACTGATCTGAACATCATTAGTAAGTGAGTGAGTTAAGATTTTATGTCACATCGGCAATATTTCAGCCATATCGTGACTAAATCAAATTATAGATATATAGTAACTGATTTTTTTTTAAAAGCTGCCAACGAAGGACAGTAAAACAACTAGATTATCACATATATAAATTTAAAACTAGTAATTAAATCTGATACATTTTAACTATAAGTGACAATACAATATAAAACAGGCTGTAGATTACCAACAACTGAAGGTAGATCACCATACTAGGGACCATGGGGACTTACAGTACATTTGCTCCTGAGTGTGAACAACATAGAGGTCAATATTTGATAATAGAATCATTGAAACGAACAACAAGCAATTGAATGCTTGAAAATAAAATGATCTCACACGCATGTGAGGACGTGGGTGTGAATGTAACAGAAACATCCAACTGCCTAATGTGGGCAGCTTGCATGTGAATGTCTGATAATCTAATGATCAATACATTCAGAAGAGCACCTGCATGTAATCATTTGAAATTAAAATACTCTACGTCCTGAAGTGAGCAATTATCCGTGTGAATGTCTGATACCACAATGCTTTTAACCTCGTGCAGGTGACTAACACGAGACTCAGTGATAATAGAATGATGTAGCACGTGAGTAACATTATCCACCTAAAAGCTTGATTTGTGCATGCATGTGAATGATTCATCATGTACAAATCTACACCTTCATGTGGCCAACTAACATGCTGTTGTTTGAAAATAAAAACTACACCCTGATGTGAGCAGTTTCCAAGTGTATGTATGATAAAATACTTGTCTACATTCAGATGTGAGTATATGAATGTTTCATGATAAAATGATATTCACCCTGATATAAGCAGCATCTATATGAATGTCGTATTATAGAAACATCTTCACCCTGATATAAGCAGCATCTATATGAATGTCGTATCATAGAAACATCTTCACTCCGATGTGAGCAACACGCTCAAGAAAAGCATCTTGGGTGTGAATCTGTCATAATAAAATGATCTCACACCCATGTGCGCAACTTGTATGTGAATGGCCGGCAATGAAATGACCTAACATGCACGTGAGTAAACTGTATGTGAATGCCTGACAACATGATCTAACATGATGCAACGCTATGTGAATCTATCCGATTACACCACTACAAGAAGCTTCCCCTGTATCTTAAGAGATATGTCTAGAACTGTCTCTGCAGTTTCTAGCTGACTTATCAACACTCTCCAACAAATTTGAGTAACATCAAAAGTACAGTCTTATTCTTGTATAGTAGGTAAAATATGTTTTGTTATCGAAAAGGGAAAAGTAGTTTGACAAGCGATTGTAAATATTTAGATATGTTTGATATCGGATACGTCATTATGTTTCTTCAGAATGGACGTTGGCTCATACATCTCACGTTACGGTGCATCTAACAAGCAGCTTTAATTACACATTAACACGGTATTGCCTCTTAATTGCAGGAAATACAAACAGGCTCCCATGTCTAACGATGTCATCAGCAGCAAGGGTCTGATACATGTCCGTAAAGTGGATGCACCTATCAATATTTCCTGTGAAGATGCATCTGATGCAGATGTACACTTGTCTCTCAAACTTGAGTTGTAATCTTTTTCAAAATATCAATAGTTACATACTTTGCACATTCTTTCATCTACTTATTGTTCTTTCCATTCTATCGACATGTTTTCTTGTTTCAGATTTTGAAACTACATGGAAATCTTATAAAATAGTTTTTAATCGTTAAAGCATATATATATGTTAGACAAGCAGCTCATAAAGCGATGAGTACTCTACCTGACGCTACTCTAGACTCTAAACTACGACAAATCTCTACTTGCCGCCATTGATAGACAATCTACGACGCATATATTTGTGCCGATCTCGGCAGACAGACAACGACAAATCTCCAGTCGCCCGACATACTGATGGAGCTTTAATGTCCACAGTACAGATGATAACATTCCGTCTCTGCAAACCGATGGACGATCAAATTCATCCCTGTTCCAGTTTTCAACCGGTGTTCATCAGGGTGTATGTAAGAGTAAATTCATAAGTAGGCATGCTGCTGTATGTCTGTTACGGCAAATGAAAGCGTTTAGTGATTGAAGCGTCATATAAGCAGACTGACCACACGATCCCAGACATCGATACGGACAATTCTCTGTTAAGGAAGGAAGGAAGGAAGGAAGAAAGAAAGGAAGGAAAACCCTCACACTCTGTGCGTTCCATCATCCCTTTAAAGATTCAAGTTTCATCAGTGTTACAAAAGCTTTAAAGAATCATGTACTTTAGAATATAGACATCAATACACGTACCTGACTGAGACTGCGATGACAGCAACAGCAACAGCAACACTACTTGGGCTGTTGGCAGCAGGGAGACAAAACGACGGGGAATTTTCCAAACTTCCAACATCTTCGTGCATTGCATAGACGGGAGACCCACACCGGGCTACCTGAACACACATGCACTGGTTCGGCAGCCAATAGTTACATTCAAAGAGGTATCCCCTTGCATCAAGCGGATGGCACTGACTTCACTGTCGTGTGTGTAGATACGGTATCCTGTATTTTTACACCGAACACTCCAGGAACTGGCAGACAACGCGACACACAACGGTCTCTGCTGCAGCAGCAGGTTGCTCTGCCTTCGTCTGTCACCACTGCGAGTTGGCTGGCAAACAGAAGCGTGTTTATAGCAGTCTTCGCGATCTCCCGCCGGCGACTACACAAGCTTCCGATAGGGATCGATGCACATAGAGCTCATCCGAGATAGCTGCAAGAAAAACACATACTTACAAACTGTTTGACATTCCACCGATACTGTTAAAATGCAACAACGAACAGAGAGTTTTTTCGACTGGGTTGAGATGGACTTCTCGCGCAAATGTCTGTCGGCACTGGTGACGGCAGATCTACATCTATTCAACATTGCATCAATTATGTACCGTGTATCGTTGCTAAATAGTGGGCGAGCTGGAAGATGAGGCTGTGCTGCCTTCCACGGTAGAATAGGTAACACAACAAAACAATAGAACAGTTGTTGTTAATTCCACTAACTTGGAAGAGACACACACAATTTGTTGTGAAAATATACTGAGTGTGTTTAATAAACATAGTAGTCCGTCCTTTGTTAGATTTAAGATGTCGGTTGGTTACACGCAGTTTTGATGACTTGAACATCATTTAAAAATCAAGAAATGTTTTTTCGAGGAATATTTATCTGAAAGGGCTTCACGATTTCGTTTTTTTACCTGAAGTTTGCAGTGTTTAGATAATTGTTTTCTGCTTATAAACAACTTGATAACGTTTGTAATACTGTGCTCAATTGCTGTTTTCAGTTTGATTTCTTCTGTTCGACTGTATAATTCAGTAGCAGTTGCAACCGTATAACTGCCACATGTATAACACCCGCCAAAGTAGACATGCCATGACGTCTTTAGTAAACGTACTCTCACACCCTTTGTAGACATCCTTCCAGTAGTCAGAAGCCATTCTAGCCCGTCCTTTTTGGACAAACTTTCCAGTCGTTAGTAATGAATCTGTCACTTGTATACGACGATAATGCAAATGATTCACAATAAAATCAGCCATGACATCATGTATAGTCATACGCTAGTAACCCCATCAAATATAGTTTATATATTTTGTAACTTACATCAAGTATTTGTGGCGACTATGTACCAATCAACGCGCCGCTTTTGTTCCAGACATTTCATGGATCTGTCGAGGCACTCTATCCTTCTTTTTAGAGAGGACCAACTTGGCTGATTGCCCGCATGCCTACCCCGACGACTTGCTACGTCACTAAAACACTGATCTAGACTAGATCACATACAGTCGGTGATATAACACTGAAATATTGCTACCGGTGGCATAAAACGCGACAGAAACAATGACAGATGGAAGTAGCAACATGGGAGGGGATAGGTTGGTTGCGGGAACAATGACAGTTCATGCCGCCAGGAGACCGTGACACCATCACAATGATATACATGTGTCATGTTCCAACAATAATCTATAATTAATTACCTACACCTGAAAAACAAAGGCTCAGGACATCGAAAGTATTAACAATTAGGTCGCATCTGTATCCAATACAAACAATCCGGTAATAAGTCCGTCATGGTATCATCAGCGAATAACTCAATCAAATTACAACACTCCAATAGTCTATATGTTGACCCGTGTTTATCGCAACTGCACCGAGGATCGATAACTGTCTCAATGCATTGTGAACGATCAATCGTCAAGTTGCTGGAGAACTCATAGCTTGATCACTCACTAAGAAAACGATACATGATTGCTCTCTCAGCCAAGTGAAGCCGGAGAGTGGAATTACCTTGCAGGAAGAAATGAATACTTCCATCCTCTGTGTCTTCATCCAGCAACGCTGCTGCTTCAAACAAGGGTAACAACTTTAAACCAACAACGCTGTAGTTTAACACTGCTACCCTAAGACACTGCATTAACAGCTGCAAGCAGTTTCTCCTTAAATTAGCACCATAACCTTTCGAAACGTTTTTTTTCAACTTCAAGTCAAGCAGTTGCTTTGTTTAGCATAGTTCCTGGGTCACGTGGTACATACAGGTTCAGATCCTGTATTCATTTGGTGAGGCACCGCTGACTTGAGTCAGAGACGGTTTTAATCAACTGCAAGTCCAATATACGTTAGATTCAGTACTCTGTTGGAGACACAGTGATTTAAACTTGAAGTTAACTATTGCCTGGCTGGAACACCTCTGACACAGTGCGTCTCCTTGTCTGATGGCCTACCTGCACAGGCACCAAGGAGATGGGTGATGGGCAGCAGTATGCATTTCTTCCTGTAAATACAGTGCACTGGCGGATCATAGCTACTTCTGCAAGCGACAGGCAGCATCCCAACCACGTCCGTCTCTGTCACAAACAGTCTCGTATTGAAAATAAATTGCCGTGCCATAATTCTCGGGAGTGGAAGTAATCACGGTATAGGGATCAGTAATTGTGACCCCCAACGCATCATTACATTCGGCCAGTCATTTGTTCACTTAGACTTAAGCCTCCCCTGCTCTCAGTTTATCGTCCAAGCTGGCCATCGATCGGCTACCACAAGTACACATGATTGGCTTGTGCGAGCCAAGAAAACCCTGAGACCTTCCAATATTTATCATACGGGATTGGAATAGCAAACCGACGCTTTAAACCCTCACTTTAATATCGTTGACAAAGTGCCTCCAATTTGTTGTCGTTATTCTTCAGTTTGTGTCTGATTAAAAAAGTTCCCTGATTGCACAAAACTCGTCAACGACTAATGTTTTTTTTCCCTGACGAATTGTATAAAAAGAGATATGGTACAGTGGCAGCCGTAGACTGGGAGGGTGATGTGCGGCATCGCCCGTCAAGCGCATCATCTCTCAATCATTGTCAATAGCATTACTCCTGGAGGCTCCGCCAAACGATCTGTACACTGATATTGAATCCCAACACATCATTAGCTGTGTCTACATGTAAACAGCGGTAGTGAATATCAACAGTATCTCGGAGTCGCACGTCGGTACTGAATTATTATAATTGTGCATCAGTAATGAACACATCATATATGTCTACTATATCTCCACGCGTGTGATGGAGTTTACATGCGGGCATTGTCACTGAATAACCATATATGTACATAAGTACTGAATAACTCTGTTATACTAGTTGTATTTAGAATTAGATGCATGTATATGAATGCACTGATGCCGAGTAAGGGCGTATCTACGGACATACCATTGCATATGACCACAGAATTAAATGAAATGGTCAAGTGCCTGGGTAAGGATCTCTTCAACACATTTCAGTTATATAAAGTCGTATGAAACTATTTGCAGATACAAAGAAGGTGAAATCCACTGGAAATGGTAGGTTCTGACCAACCAGGATTTATCATCAGGCCACAATGGGATTCGAACGTAGAATCATAAATTATGATTTTGACAGACCTAAGGGACGCAACTCTCGAATCACTCCTAAGACGAGAGGGCAGGTTATTGAAAACATAATCATCTTAGCTCTGAATCATCCTTTGCTTTCTTTTGACGTGAGTAGATGGAAACTCACTCACTCAAACGGGGGTATCAGTACCTAAATTCAGCTGATTTGCATCCCAACTGCAGTAATGGATATGTATATAATACCAACACCACTCGCATGGCTGCTGAAGAAATCTGCAATCTGTTCAATTTATAGAATGTTTTATTTTTTTTTACTCTTCGTACGAGAAAAGTCGTTCGTGCCAGACATTCGTTCGTGCAACATTTCAGGATTATGTCAAATGAGCATGATAAACAGTGTCTGCATGTATTCCATCCCGACACTACGTCGTCCATCACTGCCAGTAACTGGGGCTTTAGCACAGAACGTTGTCACACATGTAGGAGGGGAAGCCGCTAATTGGAAACAGTTTTATGAACTGAGTTCTACTTATATTTTTATAAAGGCTGCCCCAATCTGCATTTAGGCAGTAGAGTCAAGCACAGCCAGTAATCAGAATGGACATAGTTGTCAGGAACTCCCTATATCAGACACCTCGGTGCGCATCAACGCTATATCTGTCCAGCACTGATTGGAATTAGATTATGACAAATTGCACGGATGAGTCTATTCCCAAGCCTTACTGGATTAAGAGGTGACAAGATAGGAGATCATTTAAGAGGAAACAAGCCCGATCCGCGCCTTGTGATTACCTCCACAGAACTCTCTCTAAACATATCTCCTCGTCGTACCGCGCCATGGAAAAGTCTCCCGCTCGTTGATTACTTTAGGCATAGTGCTAACATTTAAGTGAGAAACTGGATTGTCCTTTAATAAACAGAAGACGTCCTTGTGGACTCTTCTTACCCGGCGTTCGAGAAGAATGGAGGAGGAAATTGTTTGCCCAATTTTGAGATATTAGTAAATATGCCCATATATATGAATAATGCGTTCGGAGATCAGTTTTCAAAGTCCGACCGAAAGGAACTGCATATTTGATGTCAGTTTGCCTTCATTTATATACAGGGGGACACTCTTTCTTCATCTTCTTTCCCAGTTGAATAAAATAAGGTCATCCTGGAATTACTCAGCGTTTCTCCTGTCATTGCTTTAGAGGTTCACGAAGAACAGGGATGCTCGTACCTAGTATAAATATAGTACACTTTCTGTCACTATAGAAGGTAACGGTCATATATCACATATTATATGAGATAATATCAGGTATTCTTCTTCAGTAATGGAGCTAAAGGTATTATCCTACACCATCACCCCGCGATATTAGATACTGTTCTATCAGGACACGGAGCAGCAATTGATGTAAACACAGTGTGAACCTTTGGAGCTACATGACCTTTGTCATGACTGAAAGAACTTTGAAAAGTGCAAAGTTCTCTGTACAAGTCTGACTGTGTTGTAGACTTCTGCACCACTATCAAATAATGAAAATAACAGTTGTTTGCAAGTATCCTGCCCATATCCCATCACAAAAACTTACAAAAAAATGTCAAGTGTTTAGCTGAACAAACATGGACACGTATAGTACACATCAGAATAAGATATTGCATCTGATAGCATTTCGGCAACCAATGCGTCAAATTTGAGAATGTTATCCACGTGTGGACATTGCAGCTTTGAAAAAGCTTTACTAAGTTATAGAACGTCGTGGCCCTGATCAAACAGCTTCTAAATGTGGAGAGTTGAATGTCGCTCTTTGCAATCTTCGTAGAAACAGCCTGCTGGTTTGTTCCTCAATGGTTGTAAGTGTAGACATCAAAGCCTGAG